GTCTTCAAAAGTATTTGTTTCCTATAGGGGTCTAAATATTCATCTGAAGCAAAAGTCTATTGCTTTTATTCTTCTGGGAGCAAACACAGCAAAGTGCTAGAGTCTCAGGTACCTCTTTCTTTGTACCAGGAGGCCATTAAGAGTCCTGATACGGAAAAAGTTACCCATTTTGCAGATATGAGAAACTGGAAAGTGAGAAAAGTATAAGCCATGAAGATGGAAGCCAAAATGAATACAAATAGGGAGGGAGGTGAAATTTGAGAGGAAAAAAAAAAAAAAGGCCAGAGATAGTAAGAGAAACAAAAGATTTACTAAATTCTAACTGAAAGCTTTCGCACAGCTCATTTAAAATATTTAGAATCTTCTCTCGTTTGTAGAGAACTGATGAAGGAATAAGCTAAATTAAAAGCCAGCTTATTAAGAAAATAAAAAATGCATGAAATTAGCAATATTTTTTACAGTCACCACTATCAAGCTGTGGAACAGTACTGACAAAGGACTGCTTTTCATAACAGTTACCCACAGAGTGTTTGGTAATGTATTCTGAAACAGAAGAGATGGCTAATAGGAACAGAAGAAGAGGAATATTGTACTTTGTACTTTTAGTGTAAAGTATTTGTCAAATTCAAGGCTTACATTGTCTTCATGTAGATAAACTGATTTGTCCAAACAGCCAGCCACGTCACGACTATTCAATCAATACAGCAGCTGCAGAACGGCCAGAGGGCCACAATGCAGCAGAGGGGACTTCACAGCAGAGGATTTCATAAGTTTGTTTATTTTTTCCTTCTGCACGCATGCATATTTCTATACAGACATGTACATATAAGCTGAAACATTTCGACAGAGAACGTCCAAATTCTTTCGTAACTGTACCAGTCTGTTAATAGAAGCCTGGCTGCGGTTTTCACAGACTTCCAAGATAAAACCAACCCAAATATAAAAGGACACAAATCCTTACTAATTCTCCTTTAAAGTAACGCCTCATGATGTTTCTAGTAAGTTGATGCTACCACTCGGTGACAAGCCATTTGCAGTTTTGCAAGCCTATTTTCTGTTCAAACAGAACAGTTTACACGCACAATGATATTTTATTTCACACAGCAGAGATGTAGTCAGAAGCCTGAAACAACACAGCACGCATTAATGGCCTTGCCTAAAGCCCGTTGGTTTTAGCAGGGATTTGCACCCGTCAATAAAAACAATGCAAAACCTGCCGCCCAGCAGATTAATGTCAGCACAACGCATTGTGGAGCCGGAACGCTAGTTTGGGTCTCGGGTTTTGTGTTCTGCTCAATGGGTGGCAAAAGCCGGCTATCCTAGATTGCTTTCAAGCAACTTTAGCTGAACCCGGTCAGCTTTGCCTACCTCATGAGGGAGCAATATTTGCTTTCCCTTGCCTAAAAGGATCAAAAGGGACTGAAAAAAAAAAAAAAAAAAAATTATCCATGAAACCTCCCTGATGCCACTTTCAGAGAGAAAATGATGAGAAGTTTGTTGTTGATGAAAGTTTGTTATTGTTGACAAGGTACGGCTTATATTACAGAGTAGAGTTGAACTTTTTTATCTCATTTTTTATATTAAAATAGTTTTCATGGTAGCCACAGGAAAGATTCAGGTTCATATCGTATGGGAGAATAAGAAAGGTACAAGGCCATCCTTGCCGAGTCCATTAGACATGGTCTCCTGAAGAGGCTGGAGAGTCTCAGATCTAGGTGTGAATGAGGAATTGTCCTCTAATTTTTGGTATAACAAATATGAAGTTATTATCTCCCAAAATTTTCATGTGATTTTTTACTTCTCTAAGCTATAGGTTAACCGTTTCCAATACTCCTGACATATGTAGCGGTGCTTTGCATTAACAACCAAACCTCATTACAAATACAACAAAGTCAAGCAACCTTGACCATTCTGGTACCTTCTGTACTGGCTTTTGACACGGGACAAAGTCCCACAGCAGCACTCAGCCAAACGTGTTCTTGCCGCTACGTTCAAACGAGTGCAAAGGGCTGCTAAACCCAGTCCAACCACCTCACCCGTCTCACGAGTACAACCTGCGGCCCACAGCACACGTTAACTTCATTTGATCACCAGCTGATCATGGCATTTCTTCTCTTATGAAACAGAGCCAGAGTCTAGTTTACACCTCATACTGAAATAACTTGAAACAGAATTAAGAGTACAGAAGTTCTAACAACGTTCCCCATGTTTTATCCACTGTACCTCACAAAAGTATTATTTTCAGTTTAATCACTTGATATTAGAGCATGTCACCAGGGCCTTTCAGACCATCATAAAAGTCCTTTACATTTTTAACTCAAGTATTTCAGTAATGTTCTCAAATTTTTGAACTTTCATGTTTAGGCTTGTAGCAGGTAAAATGCACTTTCCTCTAACAAGTTTTATAAACAGAAACACTGTGATTCCCACTTTCCCACCTTGCTTTAAGGCCCACCAAAATAACTGTTACTTTTTAATTACCACTTCACACTGCTACTTGCCGTTTATCTGCTTTCAGAGCTCAGTTACATCTTTCCTCTTCCGCTATCTGCAACTGAGCTTGTCAGCTCTTACTAGACTTGAAAAGTCACCCAGGTGCCAAAGGAGCAAGTACCCTGACGTTGACAGATTTAATAGGATTAGTTCTTTCAGTAAGGACAGCAATACCGAAAGGCACTGTTCTCATCTCAGTACTAAAGTATGTCTCTCTCACGCTATATTTGAGCAAGTTATTAGTTATCACCAAGGTAATTTTGGACCTTTCAAGCCTTACGTCATTAATCCTCTTCATATACTGAGTAACTTGGAAGGAAATCAGCTATCTTACAATTATATTAATACAAATAATCCCAAGAAAACAAATTGGAGACTACACCAACAAAAGCTCCACTATAGCTATCTCAGTACTCACTCTGACCGTGCTTCCTGCACTGAGAAACCTTGTATTTTTCTGTGACATTTAAAAATAAATGACTTGTTTCTGTGCAGGCCATCAGTCAGATGGGGCTCAGTCTGTGATATTATATAGCAAGGACACAAATAAGGAAGTATAGCAATCAGCACAGGTTATTTCAGTAGGAAAACACTTCCATGTGTCCTGAAGAACACATATCTGTTAACGAGGTCTTTTAGATAACTAAAGTCCTGTCTAATGGGGGCGGAGACCCCCTCAAAGGTATGAAGCGGGGCTTTGATATTTTCAAAGAACACGAGGTGACAACCCAAGCTGTATTTCAAAGACCGACTGCTGTAGCTGCGGGCAGCGTGCAGTGAAACCGCACGACCCCAGGATTCAGAAGCTCAGAAGCGCCTTTGCAGTAACCGGCCGCGGCCCCGGGGCAAGCC